TCCTGCTCCCTTTTCCTTTGGGCGTTAACCAAAATGAACGAGCATTCCGGTCAATCTCGATCATCGTGGAAGTGAAATCCCATGTCGAATATCTCACGGTGGAATTATTCCGCAGCCATTTTTCTCTCGCCATTCCGGGTTCCGCAGAGCCTCCGCGTTTCCGATATTTCTTCACTGGCGAGCATGAGCGATAGTTCGAATCAAGTAGCAGATTTCCTTCGGTCAGAGATGACCGTTATGACAACCGCTAAGTTATTTCTGATTTTCTGGCAATCCGCCAGAAGCGCCATAATGATCACCGTTCGTCGAGCCGTTGTGCTCGGCGATCACCTTACGTGGTTTCGTTTCACGTTTCATGATGATCGTTTCTCGACGGGAGAGTGCTATTCATTCCGGAACTAGGTCTTGGACGCCTTGCTCACGAGTATGGATCGATTCTGAGCAACTTTCCGATTATTCGATGTATGGAGAAATTGTCTGAACGGATGAATGATCGAATAGATCAGTATATGTATGTCCAACAGGCCTCGCATGCATGAGCCTTTGCGGAACGTTGTTGGGTTGTGGACACAATTTCATTCGATTCGGTGTCGAGCAGGATTCCCGTTCTAAGGACACCACGAACACCAGTGAATCGAGCACTGACCGGGCTTCCTCCTACTGAGCTAAGCCGACGATGAGCGCGAATCTCAATGTCATCGAATGCCAATGAACTGGTGAGGCTGAGACAAGTTCATCGCTCGAACACTTGAGCTCATGCCTATCGAACCTAAACGAAGTTCAAGGTGTGACAGCCTGGTGATATAATCCTGTATCGCGCCATTGACGTCGTCCCGAAGACTTCTGAGTGAGACTATGCTTCCATCGTCACTTGAGATCGGACATCGCTTGACTGTGCGTCGATCACTGGGATTTGTTCCTTGCAGCCCCGCGACCAATTCCCTCCGACAAGGCACCACGTAAGTTCTATTGAATCTTTGCGGAATCTCCAGCAGAAGATATTCGGGACTCAATCAATGAGTTTGCCGTATCGGATTGAGCAGCAGCTGAGCAAACACTGACCAGTGGTGTCCCTCGAATATCTCAGAGTGAGCACTTCTACGTGCCGTACGTTCGTGGTCGAGGGAAGAAGATACGAGGCCTTAGACAAAATAGCGTCGAGTGCACTCGTCGGGGGCGAGCTGCGGGGGCGAACCCCCCTCATTCTATTCCATAAGTCATCCTCTGAAGGCCCGTCGCAGTCGTCTCCACAAATTAGAGGACATGGCTCGGCTCCGACCGACAGAGCTCGCGAATTGGGAATCAGTTCCCGGATGAAGAGGGAAGGACGCTGGTAACCTGAATGGCAGAAGGAAGTTTTTTGTTGAGGGAACACTTCCGCGGTCTGCAAACAGTTCGAAACAGTTTTAGCTTTCAATTTCGTGCTGCGTTGACTCTAAACGGGAAAGCGAGCGCTTCCACATTTTCTCTTGGAGCTTCGCCGGCTAGCCAGGAGATTCTGCAGAGTTGTTTCCTCGCCTTTCCCTTTCGACTCCGTATCCCGGCCTGCACGCGTCGTTTGACCTGCCGGCTAGCGGAGAATATCGTTCAAGCGTTAAGCGAATTCGGGCTCGCAACATTTCCGTTTTTTTCCTTCTCCCAGTTCACCTGATGGGAAACGCTCACGACGCGCAGAATTCGGAAAGCATCTTCTGGAGCTGCCGGCTCGCCAATGGGATCTTGCGCGTTGTATACCGGAAAGGGTTTTTCTCCTGTCGGCCAGCCGCAGGCTTTGGTCACCATGCTCTTAGTTCCCTAATTCGTCGCATTTTCGTTTCTCCATTCCTTCTTTAGGTAGCCATCGAGCTAATAGAGGTCTGCGATGCTATAAAAACAGCCAAATCACACCACCTAGCGATGCTCCGACCCCTACGTCGAAGCCTCCGGTCGCCTGTGGGTTGCGGGCTTCTCTTGAGGGGCTATGATATCCTTCGCCTTCACTACGGTTTCGGTGCTCACGGCATGGGATAAAGGGGATCGGACGCTTTGCCTCCTTCAACATCACAATCATAATTCAGCTTATTCTGCATCTACCACTCTCAACTGAACTCTCAGTGTACTTTAGTGCATTTGTGGAGCACCCGAATTGCTTTCATGGCTTCTCTGCCCATTCCTTCGTCGACTCTCTGTCCTATCCGCTCGGAAAATTGGCCTCAATGCCCGGTACCCGACCGGTCCCGCGGAAAATCGGGCGGTTCGGTGAGCCGGAAGATGAACTCGCAGAATGGTGCGGATGCCCCCGCAGTCGAGCGCTGACGACGATGGTCGCTGGAGGGTGTGACGTCGGACGGCTGCACCGTTTTGTAACATACGTCTTCATCGTCGAGGAGAATTAGGTGCATGTCCATAGATGTCATTCTTTCCCCTCAACATTCGAGATAACCTGTAATTTACGCGCTCAGCGTTCTAACTCTCACGAGAGTCTTCTAGCGAGAAAAGTGGCGTTTGCATGCATGCATGGAAAGGAACCCATGCTTCACTGCCCTCACCTATTCAGCGGCTTTCGCAAACATGACCGCTCCCGTCTATGTGTACAGAGCTGTTTCGTACCAGAAATGAGCTACATCAGAATTAATTCAAGGGGAACTCGTTCCTAGAGCAATCACTCGAATGAAACTCCCGATTCCGTTCGTTCTCGAGCTCAGAAAACGATCGGGATCTCCGCAAGTGTGCAGCCCGACTCGTTGGGACGCAATGCCCTCGTTCGTACTTTACGTCGTACGGAAATATCATCGTACGGACATGCAGATCCGACATGCCGTCCACAGGACGGCGCGGCCCGCTCGGTCGGTCGGTCGGTCGAGAAACGGGTTCTTGGCGGTGCCGTCGCTCGGTCGCACCGGCGGAGGGTCAGACATAGACAGTCAGGGAACAAATCGCGTTCTTGGACTGGTCTATCGGCACGACAGTGCAACGGCGGTCGCAGCCTTGCTTCTCTTCTTGCCTGTCTTTGGCTCGCCATCGGTTTGCCTCTGGCTTGTCAAGGCCGCCCCTCCGACCGCTTTCGATACTTTACTCATTCGCTGGCTCGCTTCAAACGTTGTCTTTTCTGTGACGCGCAAATGCCTGCGCCACAATTTCCTTGTTCGTCGATCAGCGAATCAATAGAAGGGATATTATATCGGGACATCGGTCCTCTCGGGATTGTCGACAGTCTTCCCGGACTCGCGACCGGTTGGAACATGCTTTCGTTAGCGCAGAGTGAAAATTCTTCATTCGCCTGCGCCGCTTTTCTTCCTCTCGAATCGAACTAACGGTCATGCTCATTCCCCGTTCCGGAAAGTCGTCCAATCGACGTTGGAGCGACAGATCCCGATCGACTTTTTCTGCTGAGTGAGCAGGTGGGGCCGCGCATCCGTCTACGTACATGAGTTTGATCGCGTACGCCGCAACTCCAGCCAATTCGTCTATTTGATGGGTCTATCGGAGTTCCGCCGGCAGAAGCGGATGAGCTGACGTGGTCTCTATATCACAGTGACGTCGGAAGGCCGCAAGAGATCGGAGTGGGCATATCTCAATTTCAGCCTCATCGCGCGACTAGGTACAAGCCGATTTTTCTGACCGTCTGTCGGTTCCTGCTTGCGCTCGTTCATTCGCCCGTCCGATCGCCGGTGTTGGCTCAGCCGGAGCCACTACGAGCAGAGAAGACGCCCTTGGTCGGCCTGCGCAGCGCTGATAACGAGACATCTCCGAAACCCTGAGGGAAATGAGCAAACGGCAAATACCTCGCTGGCTTGCTTCCTCCCCCGAATTGAGAACAGGATCCAGATGGCGGCAGAATGCGCCGAAGAGCTCTATCGGAATCTTTCGTCTTCGTTCCGCAGATCCACTAGCCGTACAAATCTTTTCAGCGCCAAGTCTCTTCTTTTTGTCCCGTCGTCGTCCTCGTTCTCTTCCCTGGCCACTCGCTCGGGCTGGCCCGGAGACCCTCTTCGGAGACATTGTCCGGTTACGTTTTTTTTTGTCTCGAAGAGCTCCTGCATTCTTGAGGGAAAACATTACCGGTTGTAGACGACGAACTAGAGCGATACGAGAATTCCAACTGATGACAATCAACCATGAGCCGCTCGGATCGACTCACGATTTTCCGGAGCTTGATCAGCGGTGGGAAACCGGCGATTAATTTTCAGAAATCGACGATTTTCTGTCCAGCTGGTGTCGAGAATGAAACTCACGTTTCTTCGCTCCAATGCTTGGCGAATTGGTCTAGGCGAAGACCGTGACACTCTTGCATGACGATACACCGTGTTATTCCGTGTCAGAGGCTTTCACCAATATGACGATCGCGCGGTGGCTCGCGACACTTTAACAACATCGGTAGCAGTGCAGTAAAACCATAAACTCCGTTAACAAACGGAGATTTTCGAGCCGATTCCCGCCTTCAGAGGAAGAGCTGTCACGCGGCTTCAAGTTTTTCATCGAGTAGTTCCCCCTTCAAATCGGCTCTGGTACGAAACGCTCGCGGCTCCTTCCGACTGAAACAGATGACGAGGATATCGGGTGAGATTAGCGATATTTCGGAGCCCGACAACTCTTCCCTCTGGTTCGGCCGGGAACGGATAGCTGAACGAACAGCGGAGCGAACATTATGGCAATCGGGGGAGGATTGCCCACGATCCCGGTAGAGTAATTATCGTCGTGATTATGGTGGGTAACAAACGACGTTTTTGCGCGGTGTTTTTCCTGTCGTCGGAGCGCTCATGCTCGTTCCTATCGGTGTTTATGTCTGCGGGGATCGTCGCTCCATTCGTCGGATTATCGTAGATGTTCGCGTCGTCGGGTGTTCTAAGCCGGGTTGCAACTCTCCTGGCAGCGATCCCCAGACGGCTACGGCTGAGGGAAGTCCTAGGAGGTCCCCGCAGAGAATTTCCGAATTTTTCTTTCGTCTGAGCTCTGAGACATGATCCATGATCTCAACGACTGCTTACCTTGCAGGTGACAACACATCCTGAGCATCTGGCATGAGCCAAAAATACGGTCAGAAGGACGGAATCTTCTCCGAATCTCAGGAGAACGATGACGTCTATGATGACGACGAGTCTACTCCTCTGTACGCGGGAAGGTGAGTTTCTTTCCGTCGCTTCGATCGTCGGCTACCTTTCGGATTTCTGTCTCCTTCCCATTTGTGCCCTACTTTCACTTTCCGCAACTTGTTTAAGATCCGATCATCTTTTCGAAACTCCGAAAAGGAAAAATTCTATCGAATAGTAGCAAATAAGGCACAAACAGTTCTAGAGCTTGTTCGGATTTGAAGAGAATGGGCGAAGAATATTGCGGAAGTTTTACTGCGAAGCTGTTTCGTTCCTTCGCAAGAGACATGGGGACGAATGAATTCAAAGCCTGATTTCTGTATCCGGAGCTTTTCTGCAGCGGCAACTTCTTTGACATTGTGCCCCGGGCGAGCAAGCGCATCCAGAAGGAAAGTAGCGTTCTTGCCGATCGCAAATTGACTGTCGGTTTCCGAATAGCCGAAGTTTGTTTGTTTTCAAAGAGCTTCACAGTTTCTTCTCTTTCGGAGCGCCAGCGATGGCGGTAGGGGCGATCCGATTTTTTTCTCTCTACTGAAATAGAAAAGCAACACCAAGGGATCGGAGGAACTTGTTCCCTGTATGATGTGTTGCCAAAAACTTGATGCGGCCTTCATTACGCCGAAGCGAATGACGAAAGCGTGCTCTGAATTCATCGCCTCCGATCTAACGGTATCAAGTCGATTATTTTATCGTCAAGAGGAAAGGCAGTAAGCCACTGAGCAAGTTCCGAAGATGTCGGGACATCTCACCAAGTGCCTGCCGTATTCTTTATCCCCCTTCGTCAACGATTATTGTCCGGATGGAGCAGTCGCATAATTGTTGGTCGTCGGAGGGGACCCGAATGGGGAAGCCTTTCGAGTTTCGATAAGGGGAGCAGAAGCTCACATTCCGACAGACTGTCCCATGACAGGCTCTGGTTCTTTTTTATCGACGCAATTGATGAATTCAGTGGGTCATGCCCACCAGGCATTTGGTGAACACCACAATCAACGAATTTCGAAGGCTGCCCAATCACAATGATTCCATAGGGTCCGTTCGTATGCTTTCTTGCACCCAGTGTTAGAAAAACAGTCTCGTGGTCACAGCTCCTGACTCAGCCGTCCTAATGAGGGAAGGATAGAACGGTGCTCTCTATTTCTACTAGCTCCTCCGCCTGTCCAGTGTCCCGTCGTTCGGCTGTAGCTCCTTTTTGCTCTCCTCCAGCCAAACGCTTGTCAGCAGCGGATATGGGGCCGACGACAGCGATCACGATGATGATTCAGCGATTGAAACGTCGCCGGAGCTTCCGGAAAAATATCTGTGTGCATTGTCTCTGCATTCAGTTCCTGAGCGTGAGTTCCTGCGATGAAAGAATTCCGGAAACACAGCGCGTGTCTAGAGGAGGCAAGGGACATCGTGAGAGAAGAACGACGACGTCGAGGGCGGCCGAGAGTGATAATGGGTCGCGATGCAGAAGAAAAACGGCATAGAGGAAGGACGGAGAAGTCGAGAGAAAGCTCCACGGCGACAAGGAGCGCACAGCATTCTTAACGTGGAAAAATGGCTTCGAGAGGAAAAAACAACATGTAAAAAGCAGGATGCTGTCGCTTTCGTCGTCGCCAGGAGTGTGTCGAGCGACCGGTCCGACGGGTCCCACCGTCGTTGCTGTTGGCGCTCTTTTCTTGGAGAAAGGAAAAAAAGCCAGGAAACGACGGCCATCGTCGACACCTTGCGTCTCCATTTGCTGGATTAGGCTAAAAAGGAAGCGGAGCAGGATAGAAGGAGAGGAGGGGAGAGGGTTCTCTTAGTAAATTGCAGACCCTTCCACTTGATCCCAAGAGCTAGAGGAATGGATTCACCTTTGGCTTTCCTGGAGGCGGGCTCGGCGACGCAAACGTCGAAGTCATTGGACTCCACAGTCAGGAGACAGGACATTGCAATATATTAGCCCGAAGGGCCTGCATCGAATATACCGTTGATGAACACATGGACATCATTCGACACACCCATATTTGTATAAGCTCATCGTCAGATACAGGACCTGCCGAGCGGATCATTTGATCGACACGGAGCCGTGACGTTTGCGCTCTCTATATTCCCCGGAGGAGAGTTCCGCATAGCTCCCCGAAATCTTCCTCCTGTAGGAACTCGCAGCCCGTCTCAGGACGGCGCGGCACCGGTTCGGAGGAAGTGCGATCTCCCTATCGTGGGGAAATGGTGTCGTGCAATAGTCTCGTCTAATCTGACCAGAAAACCAGATGGATATCCGGGCTGAAAGATCCGATAGACGGATCCCTTGGCGGCTCTCTCGGCGAGCGCTACCGCTGAGAGAGGAGGGAAGCTTATTAGCGCGGAAAGAAAAGGACGCGTACAACGTGCCCGCTCTGCCGCTGCTCTACACTTCCCCGCTTCAGACAGCGGTGGTGTGGGCGTCGGCGGCTCTCTTCCGGACCGGTGTTGAGTATCTAATGTGGACAGACGTCGATGTACCTAGAAAACAGCCCTTCGAAAACAGGGGGAATAGAGACTGCGCTCTTCCACTCAGCGGCTTGTTCGCGCTGCCAACGGCGAATGGAATCCATCCGGTGGGGATCTGAAGAAATGAGAGCGAATCCTCTCCCATTAGCAAGCTGCCGGTCAATCTCGATTCCGACTGCCCGGCCGGTGGGTCTGTCCATGGGCCGGGTGGGCGGTCGGTTGCTTCGACAGCCCCATCTCTGGCTCCATTTCCTCCCGAGTTCTCCCAGCTCGTCAACTCACCAACCGAAAAAGAAGGAACGAGCGGACGCGACGCTGAGCAAACGAGCCCACTAACAAAACAGCCTGACCGTCTAACTTGCTGCCTGACGGTCGGTGGGTCGGTTCAGACAGCGAGCGACGAGCGAAACCTAATTCGACCGACTTTCGTAGGCAAATCCTTTATTTAGGCTGTCGACTGAACGGATTCCGCCAACTTTGTTTTGGCTGACTTCCTATTTCGCCGATCCTTCCCCTGGAAAAGCTCCGGCTGCTCCGGAGGCAGCTCTGCGGTGAAAGTAGCAGCAGCTGCTGCTGCCGTCATCGTGGTTAAGGCTGCCACCGCTACGGTCGTTGTCGGTGCTGTTGTCGAGAAAAATTCTTCCGCAGGTTCATGCATCGATGAATGTGGCAGGTTCTGTCGCTTGCCGCAACCGGAGCCTCCGGGCTAAGATTCTTCGATCCGAGCCTTGTTTCTACGACCTCCGAACTTCGAGTTCTCGTTCGCGAGGAGCCGCATGGGAGCCGAGAGTTTCGTCTTACTCGACCAGAACGAGAACATTGAGCTTTGATTCACGGCGAACGATTGCAAGCGAGAGATCACCGTCTGTATCAAAGTTTCTCGATTTCTTTATGTGCGTCTCCATCTAGCGCCGACTTCTCGGGACTCCGCATCGTTTAAGATCCTTCAAACGACCGGTCACGTCGTCGTGTGACGAGCCAGCGAGAGGGTTGAAGAGTTTAAAGGAGAAGTAAAACTCGCCGCAGCCTCCATCTTTGATGGCGAGAAGGCAGTCGCCGAGTCTCGACTTAAAATGAACCACCCGGACGACGGCGTCTTTTCCGGGGAGCGTACCTACACCATTGAATCCTTTGATCTTAATGCCAGCGAAGTCAGCAAGGCTCGGGGAAATCTTATCGGACCGGAGCCCCAGCTCCGGACGGTCCATCGTAAAAAGTCGAAGGCCTCCTGAGCTTTATAATCATTGATAATCATCGGGGTGTTACGGGAGCACTGTTTGCGATTTGCGACATGATCGTTCCTTCAACGGGAAGAGAAATCGCAACGATCCGGATTAGCCCATCGATGGCACCGTGGAGTTGAGTCCTCACTTTCCCCTCGGTGACACGGCGACGAAGACGACGACGACGACGACCTACTTGTCACGGTACAGCTGTGCCCACCTCTACCCGTCTCCGGATGTCGAACCGGCTAGTTGAACGGCCGAAGGAGCATCAGGAGAACCCACTCTTCTCCTCCGTCTGTTCTCCCGTCGGGCTGTATCACACATCGGAAGTGTCCGCGATCTTGGATTGTAGCCAAAAACCCTTATACCTGTGCCCTAAGAGTCTGCTTGCATGGCGGCGCAGGGACGAGCGGTCGCGTCGCATTTCAAACGGCTCGCCAAGGCCACGTAGTCTTCAATCAAGTTTCTAACAATTCTGGACGTATTCTAAACTCTCGGCCTCAAAGTTCAAGGCTGACGTTTTTTCGCAAGTTCGTTAGGCAGCTCAAGCGCGTTGAAGTTCCCCAAGCACTCTACGTAATTCCCTCGGCGTCGTTCCTTGCTGTTTTCGTAGCGATATTGAGAGTGTACCAAAACAGGAGAGGTCAGCCGCTCGCCGCATATTGTATGGTGGGGGGATATGAGGACTCGCAACACGGAAAATCATGGCATTCTTTCCAAATGTACCGTATGTCTCCAAATAAAATACAGGGGTCCCCCTAATCATTAGGGGGATCACGCTCAAATGAATATATTCCAACTCCCAAACTCGTCGACATGGGACCTCGAAGTTCGAATCCAAGAGTTGCGGAGTGACCCGAGCTGATCAAGAAGCTCCTTCATTATTTATGGGATGCCTTCTTCGCGTCGAAATATAGCCAGAACGACCTGCGTTTTATTAAGAGTTATCCGGGAAAAAACCCGGAGTTCAACCCCGGATGAGGACATTCCCTCGGGATACGTTCGAATACGATCTCCGGATCACTGACTGAGGCTTTCCCGTTTCTAACTCGTTCTGTTCCTCTACTATTACAGCCAAAGAAAGAAAACGGAAGGATGGGACGTGTTCCAAGACCCTCCCCCACCCGAGGAGGACGACACGATAAACCCCCAATGGATCGATGTGTCGCTCAAGATCACGAAAGTGATTGTCTATATCCTGACGGCAACCATTGTACTCAGCACATCAATCATCGCCAAAGGTGAGCGTGTTCCCGACTTGCTCGATACCGTCGAACAGAAGCCTCCCGTCGTCGAGAAGTTCACAGTTGTTGACTCCATCAAGCGATAGCTCGCCCTTCTAGTATGCGCGGGATCTCTTTCGAAACAGAGAGGACGAGTTTGGCGATCATCAGCCGCGCCGTCAATCGTCTCTTCCACCATCGTGCCGCAGCCACCGCCGCGCCGCCACCGAGTCGATACTGTTGGCGCATGCACAAAAAATTGTCCTATAAACACGGGTCGTTCGGGAAAAGCGAGCGTTCGAGCGTAGGCTACTCGGTGACGGAGTCGGCGAAGAGAAAGCGAGCGGGAACGGGATCGACCGGGGAAATTCCAGCCACGGGACAATTGTTGTTCGTGTGCGCAGAAAGACTCCCGTCATCGCTATTCCCTTCGGACGGCCGGAGTGATGTAGGCCCATGTTGTGACTCTCGAAACAAAGGCGGAAGGCTCGCTACCGGAGTTGTTGATATCGTCTGAAGCAGTCGACCAACGAACGAACGATAACAGACGAATCGTCAGATGGGCAGTCAACTGTCGGAGCACGGTACGTACGTACACTTGTACCAGACGGCGCTGGGATACGAGCTCGACGGGCTCGCTCGTCAGCCTCGAGCGAGCGAAGTGTTCCATGTTGTCGACCGGACCTCGTTCCCATCTGCGCACGGCGCGCCGTGCCGTGCTCCGCGTATGTACCTATGCACCGGTCTCAACACCGTAAACGAGTGACTTCCGGGGAAGTTGAGCGAGAACAAAGAGGCAATAATGAAGACAACTCGACGCACTCGTCCTTTCTCTTGTTCCCTCTCCTCTCTGCTGCGGGATGATCAGCTTTGATTGCGCCTCCCGCTGAATTGATTAATACTGAAAGGAATTCGACATTCTGCTCCTCCGCCGGAACGAATGTCCGCCGAGCAAGAGACATCTTTCAATGTCGGACGCAAGCTTCATTGATGAGATGCGATACCGGTGGGTCGTCTAACTGGATGACATATCATAAATAAACCATGTCCTGTGTGTTCTGTCTCTACGAGCCTGAGCCATTTGTAACGTAGGCCTGCTTTTACCCTGCTTGACCACAGCAAGCGCTTCGGCAAACAGCTGGGGCGGGAAGCGCGCCGGTGACAGCGGATTCCGGCATGTCTCCGCTCTACTCGAGTGGGAGGCAGAAGTGACGAATCGTTTTCCCATGATTTTTCCTGCTCCGTTGTGTTCCTTCGTTCGTTCGCTCGTTCGTTCGATCGACTGAATACATCCTCTCTTCGGCACTTAGCTCAATTGTGTTGGAGTCCGCCTCCCGAGCTCCGCGTTGGAACGAAAAAAAAATTGTCGAAGTCCATCCGTCGTCGGCGGCGTTGAAATTATCTGACTTGCCGAGCCTCTCGGATCCGGCAGAGCTGTGTTCTGATTCCGGACTCGGGTCGAATTTCATTTGTTTTGAATTTACCGGCGAGTGATGCTTTTTCGCTCGGCCAGCAGTTCTCCTCTCATCAGAGACCCTCTTCCCTCCCTCAAAGATTGAGGAAAAAGCGTGGAAAGAGTGTTTCTCGTTGGGAAAAGCCATCCCTACCTGGTTCGCCTGACATTTGTTCCCGATTCAACCCGAGTTTCCTCAGAGACCTCATGCATTATTTATCTCCTACATAAATTTCTATCACTCCGGTCCCATGTGACCGTCTCGGGGCACAGGTGAACCGAGGGGTTCCGCCTCTGCCCGGTGGTCAATTCCGCGACTCAAGGTTCGTTGGACATCCGATCGATATCGAGAGATGATGCTTTGGTTAAGCATTTGAGGACCTGCTGCTACTCCGCTCGACCGACCGATCGATGAATGAGAGACAGACTGCTTGTGGATTTTAAGGACACCGCTCCTCCGCCTCACGCCGGCCAGGCTCGGACCGAACTTTATTCTTTTGTGCCTTAAACTCTCACCCCTTTCGGCTCGGAGGACGGCAGAGGGGAACTGAGACGTAACAAGGTACCGTGGAAGAGCGTATCGCTAATCTCGTGCTCATCGTTCAATTTATGATTCCAGGCGCCATACTTTTCATCACATCCCATGTCGGGCAAAAAACCGTGCCCGTATGCCGACAAGGTCTTCCCGTCGAACGCGATAAGGACTACCAAGCTATCATCCCACCTGTGGAACGAATAGCTTGGGTATGGTCTCTCTTCCTGGTACTGATAATGCCGGAGCTATTCACGTTGTTCCGAGCGTGTCGCGTTTGTTTCTTCAAAAGCTACCGGCCCCCGAACAAAGACACCTTCATCATGGTGAGTGTGCACGGATCTTGACGTCACCCTAGTTCCTGTCTTTGTTCCAGTGCCCATTAGAGAGTGCATTCCATTCATCGAGGATTCCGGGCTTGCTTTTTCGGACTTTTCTCCGACCGTTGTCCTTCTGACGACTCGCCCCCTGCTGTCCGCTTATCTCTGACCCGGGGAGCTAACGAAACCGAACGAGATCTCCACCGAAATCCTCCTCTGAGCTCTTACGGAGAGTCAGGTTCAGCCGACCCCACTCAGTCCATTGATGCGCAGTTCCCGAGCGACCGATCCCGTGATCCGCTCATCGAGTTCAACGCGTCGTCTAGAGTACGGCTCCTATCTCCCCAGGAGTTCCCAGGAGTTCAGTCTGGTTTTCCTTATGCAGGTCTCATCGGTCGTCAACTTTCTGACTCTCGTGAGATGCTCGTGAAACTTTACGAGACCTAAACTTCTTCGCGCCCTCCGTTTGAGGGACGCCTCGGTGTCTGACGAGCTGATCTCTGAAAACGCTCCTCTTCTGTAAGTCAGAGGAGCTGCCCGATTCGCGCGAACCTTCAGAACCATTCCAGCGCGACCGAAGTTAGCCTTGCGTGAACGAAACTCAGGAATCGCTCTGCGGCACGACCGATCCAATGATGCTAACGATTTTTCCGTGTTGGTCGAGCTCAGTTCATGTCGGGGGCATCAACCGATCATGGAGGAGGACGCGTGGGGCTATCCTTATGCATTCTTCTTCGCCACGGTATATTCGCTGATGAAAAAATGTCACGCCGTACGCATGTGAATACTTCATGTACATGCGACGTGACATCGCGAGAACCCAATATTTCGAGTGCATGCGTGCTCCGTTGGTCGCATATCGGACAAACTCGATCTGAACACCTCCCGTGTCTTTCTCGAAGACCTCAAACATTGCAGAGCTGCTGGCGCTTGTCTCTCTAAATGTCCCACCAGAACCTCTGAATGAACCTCGATGGCGATCCCGGCTCGCCTGGACGACCATTCAACTGCTTCCGCGACGGCATCCGATTCGCGGCAGCGATCAAATAAGGAGGGAAGAATCCCTTTCTGGGCTCTGTTGTGCTGATTATTTTTCTCGGCGATTGATACGGGTCATAAGATTGTGGGGTGGCGGTTTGCGTAAAGCGGTAGTTTACGCAAACCACTTGCTTAGGTCGGGAAGCGTAATAGGGGAGTCGTAATCCGATTTCGCTCTCGAAGGGAGATATATTGATTTCAAAATGAGTATGTAGCCGTTGCCACGGAAGCAATTCAGTGGTCGGAGTTCGGGATGGAGGACAATCGCGAAAGCGCGGGAGAAGAGGAAAAATTTCGGAGGACCCTGATTTCGTAACGAGCGAGCACGACAGACAAGCGAACGAGCGAGCGAAAGGTCGTGGCAGATCACTCGTTCGAGAGTTGATTACGGTTCCCGAAGCCGTGAAACAAGTCATCACTGTCTCCGCGTTCCTACGAGGGGCGAACCAGTGAGCCGAGCAGCTAGACGTTTGATTTGCATCCGAAATGGAGAACATCGGAGGGCGAGAAGAGATGCGCTCTGTCGCCGTAGGGACGGAAGCGGATCTCCTCGGAGAAGGATTTTTTGTCGCTTACGCCATCGACCACTCGATCGTCACCGTCGCATACGGGCTTACGTACGTACCTGTACCTCATACGACACAATACGACTCTCGGGTATTTCCTCGAATCATTCCTGGTGTCGCTGACCGGACCCGACTCTTGGCGAGAAAAATAAACCTCAATCGGATGATGGGAATTGCGGAAATCTTCCCCTGGACTCTTCCTCCACATCGGAGCGACTTTCAGCTCCTCTATCCGTAGTATCGGCCGCCCACGACCGTCGCTATCGGCGGCGGAGGCGGCAATTCCGCGAAGGAGTTCGCGTGCCTGCGTTATTGCGTCCGACCAAACTTGCTCGCATAAGCGGATTCGTTCGAGTAGAGACTCGGTTGTTCGTCGGGCGAGCTCATTCAGCCCACACTCTCTTTTCCCTCAGCTAGCCAGCCTGCCAGCCACCCACTCACGGACGAGCAGTGTTCGTAGTTACACGCTCTCCCTCGACGGTGTTTTCGATGAGTTTTTCTCCGGCGTCTTCCTCCCGCCTGTCTGCCTTCTGCTACCCGTTGGACTAGACAAGTCTCAGTCAGAAGGTGGAGCCAGCTGGCACATAGATGGCGAGCGGAAGCCTAGGAGACCCTTCGGTCCCGCGTTCGTAACTCTAGGCTTTCTTTCGCATCAAAGAGTCAATTATTGTGTCTGGTCGATAGCCCTCCTGACGGTCTTCTGACGCACCTCTCGCAGTGGCCGATGGTTGGCTGCTCGCTGTCCGCCTGCTCGTCGACCCGTTCCTCTGAGTGCTTTTTCGTTATTTCGCTCGACTCCGCCGAGATTTTTGTTATAGGTGCTTTTGATCCTGACGAGGACGGTGCTGACCACGACATCGAGGTCACGACAATCTTTTTTGTTCGAACAACACTCGAACGTCGGGTCCGAGTTCCGGTGATTCGGGGCATCGGTTTTTCCTCCTCTCGACCTGTGAGGAACCGCTGGCATGGGGAAAGGATTCCGAACCCTCGCTCGCTCCTAGTGTCTATCCCCCGCGCTTGCGGCCGAAGCAATGACCTTTCCAAATGGCCCGTTTCAAGGGAGGGGGACGGATGGGGGCGTAGAGACATAGTGGAGTGTATTTTCCCTCGCAGCGTCACCATCGGGTGAGGTGCGACGCAAGCGGCACTGAACATACTGGATTCCCCTGCCCCCTACTCCCTTCCCAGCGCCCTACGAGGCCTTGCATCGAGACCTTGGGGAAAAAGGGCTTCTCGCTTGTTCTGTGTTGCAGTGAGTCTTACAGGGAAATCGGCAGCGCTGACGATAGACCAAGATGGACCACCGGTCCAGAGTCTCGGAACCGCGGTTCCGTTCTTCCAGGAGAGACGATAGCTGAGGGGAGAAGCTTCGGATTTTTCCCCGTGCGCGGTGTGAGCTCATCAAAATACCGGGAAGAAAATTAGTCGGACGAATTCTCATTATTCACAGCGGGAGTGGGTGAAAACTATTGAACGAGGGGAATGAGGGAAACATTCAGGAATTTATTAAATATATTCAGCTCATTGGGAGGGGTAGTAAGATTGAGAAGAAATTTATCAGCCATTAAAAAAATCTCTCCATCCCCAGGTCCTCGTCATGGAGTCGTTACACGTGCTGGGCATGGTGCTCTTGGTGTTCGTCGTTCTACCTGAAATGGACGTCGTCAAAGCAGCGATGCTCACAAACTGCATGTGTTTCATTCCTGCCCTCTTCGGAATGTTATCGCACTATCCCGGCGAAGAGAAACGCGCCCTCCGTACCCTACTCGATTTCTTCTGTCTGTGCGCTCAAGCGATGGGATTTTTCGTTTGGCCTTTCGTCGTCGAAAGCGAGCATTCCTGGACTATTCCCGTCTCTTGTCTGCTGGTATCCTGTCGCTGGTGGGAAAACTATGTTGACAAACGATCGTCGTTTGGCCTCATCGCTCGATTCGGAAGAATGAAAGATGACTTGCGAAAATCTCGCTACTTCTCCTACATCTTTATCTCGGCCTGGAAAGTGTTGCTCTACTTCAGTCTCATGCTGTTCGTCAACATGATAACGATGGAGAACGTTGTGGACTTGTTGCGTTCGTTCGCAAAAGCTTTCCGCAGCCACCAGATCAGCATCGTGCAGGTAGGTGCCGTTCCCCGAACGCTCGTTGTGCGGGATGGTCGCTAGCGAGATATCCGGCTGCTCCGATTCCCAATCACAACGTCGTTCATCTCCGAGCACAAGCCAAAAACCTCTCGGGTCCGCGCCTTCGCAGGACAACAAAACATCCCGGCAAAAATCTTGCGGCATCATTCAAGCTGCTGTCCATTAGGAGAAGACCATTACCACTAATTCTGTTTCTCCTTCATCCCCTTTCCGTGCTCCTGTCGACCCTCTTCGCTGGCTGCAGGTTTACCAACGTGTGTTCGACCAGCTGCCGCCGGACATTCCGACGGCATCACCTTTGGACGATGATATCTCGCTGTCGACGTTCGAATGGACTCCGATTATCGTGGCCATGATCCAGATTTGCGCGGCGCACATCTGCTACGTATCGTCGAAATTCGCTTGCAAGATCTGCATCCAAGGGTTCAGCTTCGCCTTCCCAATCTCGTTGACCATACCCGTCTCGATATCGCTGCTGATCGCCTCTTGCGGAATTCGGTTCGAGGACGTCTGCTTTTTCGACGGCTGGCTCCCCAAATATCTCTTCTGGAAGTGCCCGACCGGAGAATTCTTCCAGGTTCGTATCCCGTTCTACCGTCGATAATAGGCAGATGAATTAGAGTGGTTGTAGTATATGTTTACTCTGTCGAGAGACAGACTCAGCTTTCTCAGATCAGCCTTCGATCCGCAAAACGTCCGGACTCCGGACCTCTGGAGCTTCGGGCTCGTCGTCGCGATCCACACACGGTCCTGTAAGAGGCTGCATGTCGATCGGGACGACAAGACACGACCGAGCTAGGAGGGTCTCAAGTTCCCGAGATAGCAGTAGGAAAGATGGAAACATCGGGGCAGACGGATGGTGGTCTTGGAACCAACTGGGAAACTATCTCGGCGGATGTTTGGCAATAGCACCGGCCGGCGTTCGGAAGGCGGCACTGACTCGAGAGAGTCTCTAGGGGGACCTCGTTTGTGGTCCTGGCCTGCTTTCCTTGTGGGTCCTTCTGCTTCCGGCTTCAATCAACGGCTTGCGGACTCCTTCCAGCCGCCGGTGCCTCCCAGCAGCTTCAATAAGTCGACGTTGTTGTTGTCGTCGTCCCCGCCGCCGCCATTAATATCGGTTCTACAAATAGAATCACCGTTTTCTTGCGAACTAGAATCTTCTTGTTCTCGCTCGTGCTCTGTCGGCTCTCTTCATCGCGGCCTCATCCCCTGCCGATTCCATTGCAGTTTATTCAGTCAGAAGGGATAAGAGAGAGGATCTTCAATTTTTTTTCTTCTGTACCTGTGCTTCCGAAAGCGTATCCAGGTCATGGATGCGACTCCGATGGATTAAGTTCGCGGCCTGAGATTCGGCTACGCGAGTGGTTCTGACGCCGGATCGAACATGAAAATTATTAGCTGAGCGGAGAAAACGATAATTCAAATAGAGGCCTCTTGTTGAATCGGAACTCCTTTTGCAGGACTTCATTACGACCCAGAACGCCTGGGTGTGGCTCGTGTGGCTCCTATCGCAAACCTGGATCGCTGTTCACATTTGGACACCGAAATCGGAACGTTTGTCGTCCACGGAGAAGTTGTTCGTGTGTCCCATGTACGTGGGGACCCTGATCGATCAGTCGCTGGCGTTCAACCGGCGCCGAGACGACGAAGGAGAACTTAAGAGTGACGTGAGTATTCGCCTACTAAAAATAAAGATATCCTCCAAAGTTTTCAAACTCCGGGGCAGCACGTTTCGACCGACGACGCGACGACGGCTCTGGGCAACACGACGTACACCGAGATCCCATCGGGAAAGATCTAGCAGTTGCGAAAGTGACCGGGAGTGACACGATTCCTGATCAGCTCGCCGGTGCGTGGAGATGGGCCAGTTGCGTGGAGATCTTCTTTTCCAGTCTGGCAGGAGCGACAGCCTCGGTTGCTGCTATCTTATTGGAAGGATCGGCGCCGCCAGCGCCAGGGATCCAAGTTCCACGAGTGGAGCGCGGAGGGCTCAAGCTCGGACGATTCGGGCCCGGGATCGATTTTCTATCGGCTTCCTGACGTTCTTCAAATCCCATCCGACTTGTTCCCACATTCGTCTGCGACGTCTACCACCTGAACTTTGGCTCATTGACTTGTGCAGCCGCTCCGAGAGGCTCGATTTGACTACGCCGCCGGGGCTTGAGTCGAGTAGTTGTTTTCTATATTTGCTCGCTGCCCTCTCGTTTGAGACCTCCCGGATGGATGGCGAGATTCTGACGCGCATCCCGTTGGGGGGACGGCTTGTATTCCCACTGCTCGTATAAGTCTCATGCACGCGAATACAGTGCTGACGTGCACCTCGGCATCCCGTGGCTCGTTCGTTTGTCGAGATAGGTCGGCAACGGTCGGCTGTCCGAGCGCCCTGAAGCGCTCAGCTTGCGTCAGTGGGTTGGCCAATTTTAGCCGGAGCACAAACCGGGCTCCGCCGAAGCCGCTCCAGTGGACTCAAGCGGCCATGGCAAGCGATTGAGAATAGCCGCAGCCAAATCAAGCGCTCGTCTCTGAGAGGGGCGGACAGGTGGAATAGGATGAGCCGCCTCGAATTTTCCAAACTCCCAATCGGTCTCCGCATTGACTCCCGACGTTATTCCGTGAGGATTGGCGACCTCCATCGTAAGATGCTACAGGGCGCTTCGAAACCGGAAGGCGCCCGAAGCGAATACTCCTTGGAGAGAAAACGCGGGCCACGCGAACGAATCAGTCCTGACGCATGGGGGACACGCTCTGCGTGACGAACAGGCTCGGAGCCCGCAGCAGGACCTCGCGACTCCTTGAAACAACTCCAGCGACAACGGAAAAACCGGCGCTCGAATAAGAAGTTCCCGGCGTGACTTCATCCCGAGCGTCCGGACGGAGAATCCCCCGATCGTCGGACGTACCGGAGCTGGGAACCCCGTGGAGCAGCTCGAAGCGGATCATGAGGTCGAGGAGAGAAGAAAGAAGGGTGCTTCTATTCTCGTCCTGAACTTGGTGCGTCCGTCTGCTCCGTGGAAGGGACGGTTCCTACCTGATCGGGACGGGCGAGCCATCAGAGCATTCATTCCGGGTTTCGAGTGGAGAATAGCGTTTTGCATGACGGAACATCGACCGCAGCGAATCGAGATCGGGAAATTATATGAACGCGAATACTTTCGAATACATTCGTGCGAATTTCACGCACTTTCCCTTGACATTTCCGCCGTGTCCAGAACGTGCCGAGCGATAAATGCGGGTGGAGCTCCGACCGCCGGATCGTCTGGCGGATCGGTGGAGGGGGACGACTGGGTGTCGAGACACCCTGCGCGTTCAGGAACGACTCTACGCACGGAAATCGCACTCGGTCGGGAGTCGTTCTTTCAAGCGTGTCACCCATGTCTTCCCACCGGCACGGCCAAGGGTATAAATCATAAACAACACATTATTGGGACTTTTGCCCGATACCGAGAACATCATTACCGCGGTAGCTGTCAAGCTATTGCTTTCAATGACATCGACAGAAGAAATGTCCTCTGCGGCAAATGATCCTCGAACGATGAAGACAAGAAGACGCCACCATCCGGAACCAGGCTCTATTCCATAGAGTCTGGATTGGTCCTGTGGGCGGCCTAGCGCACCGCTACGCGAGCCCTCGGCTGGCTTGTCTGTCGATCGGTCCGTTCGTTCGTCCGTCCGACCGACCGACCGACCGCCGGCTGATCATGGACTACTAGCTTATGAGCAAAAGTTCTTTATTGACGATACCGTTTATACCATCCAAGTCGACGACAACACTGCCGCCGACGCTACTGCCGTCTCCATCGACACGCCCCCGTGCACTTCTTCGTCTCTTTATGGGATCTCTATTGTGTGTAGTCGCCGTCGTCGTTTTCGCTGTCGTCGTCGCCGACGTCCTTCCTCAGCGATCGTCTGGCGGCGCCTGGTTCTGATCACCGACGGGAGTATATTATCGCCCTTGGCTCTTGTTTGGCGGCGCGCTCGATCCGGAACTCGTTGTCGTCTCCGCTCCCCACAACCCACAACAAAGCCGCACCGGTGTCGGCACCAACAATGCTTTGATACTCTGAAGTCGGCTGGAAGCTTTTTCCTTTTCGCCGGTCAATTCCAATTTCTTTTTTTGTGTTTCCAGGAGCTCGCACTCGACGGAACCGACGACTACGAGACCATGTACGAAACCATATCCGAGTCATCGGACAAGGACAAGGACAAAGAGAGGAAAGTCCAGCAATCGACCGTGAAGGCTTCCGATCACGTCACGAAAATCTACGCCTGTGCCACCATGTGGCACGAGACCACCGACGAAATGGTCCAAGTGAGTTGCGACGAGGGACCCTCAGCCCTTCGGGGCGAATTCAGGGGCCACGGGTGGAACCGCCTCCTCCAAAGTATAGGTATTGACCGAACCAATACTTCCGAGAGGCGTGGGGGAGCCAGGGTCCGCTTTCCGAATTGAAATACCTTCAGCCAGTGACTAATAACTGACGGAGAAGAATCTACCTATGTACACGGAAAAATTCGGTGAGCGTGTTGTAGAGCTTGAGGAGAGGTCGCGGACGGACACACTTTTCGGTCAAGCCTTCCTTATTCATACATTCATGCATATCCCAGTACGCTTCTCGGTGCGCTCCTTTCCTCGCCCGAAGTAAAAAGAATGGTTCCTTAGGAGAGCGGAAACCGCGTACGGAAGCAGAAAGATGACGACGGATCCCGATACTTCGGGGCAGGTTGAAGCGAGGGACACATCTCCGATATGTAAATGCGGACCCGTACCCACAGGCTCCCGCTCAATCGTTTGGCCGAACCCGCTTCGACCCGCTCTTTTTCCTCATTTACTCACGCTCGTTACACAAAGCGGAGTGAAGTGATTGTTGAAAACTCGATGAGATGGCGGGACCCAGTCTCGACGGAGATATCTGCTGGAATTCACTGAATCGAGAGGGAACGGAGCCAATATTCCGGAGCCCGTGATACGTTCCCTTTGTCTCCGTCGGTGGCTGGGCCCGTGCTCTTCCCGTCAAGTTCAATCGGTGCTCTCACGTGGATTCGACGACGAGCATTCGAAGAAATTTCAATTCGCCTCCGCTGACATTTGCGTTTCTGAATCAAAAACACACTTTGGCTCCACGCCCCGTGAATTCTCGATCGTACGAGCGAAGGGTCCCGAGAATAGAGTCCCCCTCAGAGGGAACCACATTTCCTGGATATTCGGTCGCGTAGCTTCTCGAAAATCTCAGCAATGGATTCCCACCATCCCCGATTCCGTACGTGCGTGCCCTGGGAACATTCTGGTTTTGGAGGCAAGCTCAATATTCCTCTCTCGTTCCAGCTCTTGAAGTCAATTATGAGGATGGACGAGGATCAGTGTGCCCGTCGAATCGCTCAGAAATATCTTCGCATCGTTGATCCCGATTACTACGAGTTCGAAGGTAAGGTTCCTGAACTTTCCGCCGCGCTGGCACGCGACCCGCGAGAGCCGCTGGCCGACACGCTGACTCCGAACTGGGAAAAACACCAAGACATTCAAGTTCCCTTCGATTCGATCGATGTGACGTCTCCCCGACGTGCGCTCCGAGTGAGCGGAAGATCAAAGAGATCCCGAAGCGCGGAATCCGTCGGCAGAATCCCATGGGCACGTGGCGTTCCGACGGTTTCTCCGTACACCGTGCCTAGCGGGTGATGATGTGATTCTAGGGGATATACAATAAATATATTACGGATTGGCCTGAGCCCGTGCCTTGGAAATCGCCGCCAAGAGAGAAATCCTAAGAAGTGTCAGAGCCTCATCCTCCATGACCCTGGCTGAGTTTTACGCTGAATTAGAGCCCTCCCCGGAGGAGTGCGCGCATGGGTACGAAATAGGCGAGCTTACACGTTGTGTGTTTCGCGCAGGGTCTCAAGGCATCTCGCAGCGAAATAAAAATGTACATTCAAACAATATGTAGCCATCCGGGTCCCCGGGGCGTGACAAACCTGAGATCCCGAGGAAGCCAGAGGGAAGAGTCCGAATGCTCCACATTCGAGTTTTATTCGCTTGGGCAACGGATGTGAAGCCTCCGGAATATCACATGGAACGAGGGAGGGTTCCCACCCAGAGCACGCATCGGGCTCCGAGTGAAGAAGCATGGTGACCGGACTCTGCCGGCTTCCATAATGCAACAGGCCGTTTGCCGAACCGAGCTGATTGGCTACTTGTTGAATTTCAGTGCACGTCCTCTTCGACGATGCTTTCGAATGGTCAGATCACAGCGACGAAGACCGTCAAGTGAATCGATTCGTGACCACCCTTGTGAAAGTAATGGATACAGCAGCCAGCAACGTTCACCAGACTCCAATCAAGTTGAAGCCGCCGAAAAAAATCCCCACCCCTTACGGCGGCCGACTCGTGTGGACTATGCCCGGAAAGAATAAGTTCGTCGTACACATGAAGGATAAGAACAAGATTCGTCACAGGTGGGTGGATATTTTGTTGTTGTATTCAGCGTAGAATCCGACAGTAAAGATAAATTCCGAAAGTTTCGCTGCCTCGGAACGCGAGGAGAATTCGACCTACTCCCTAGGACGTACTGTTCCACATCGGGGTGCCTGCAGTAAGTAAAATAGAAGCACAAGTTCCGTCGATCTAGAAGAGACGACGGCTCCAAAGCCGCAGCGGACCCCCGCTTGGGCAACGGAAAGGCTCCTCGGTTTTTGCATATCAAAGGCTCGACGCTACGTAGGGAAGATCAAAGTATCGAGTGAACGCGATATTTTCTTCTCCGAAGTCTCGGGTTGCTCTATTCTCGCCGTGGGTCACAATGCCCCCCATGGCTCGTCGATACATCTGATGATTTTCCGCGGGAGAGCTCGGGAGTCGAGTCGGTTCATCATTAGCTGTTTCGACGCTGATCACCAAGAGGAAAAAGGACTAACCGCGTCTCTGAATTTTCTTTTGAGGACCTTCCTATCCCTGATTTTCAAGGGTACCGGTATGAGCACCGATTGGAGGGAGTGATCGCATTATACGTATACTCGACGTCGGAATGCGCGCGGGACGCGGTCAGCACTTTGCTCTGCCATCGAAATGGACTCCCGCTCGATCGTTGTTGTGCCGAAGTCTATTTTTCTTGCGATGCGGTGTGAGCCGTTGCCAAAGTTGGCGCTTGTGTCCCTTGAGTCCGGTGCGTCGCCAGCGGGAATCGGAGCCGACCGTACCACTGCACGGCCGAAAACTCGGTTTGGGTTGGCTAGCGAGCTATTGGCAAAGTGAGAGCGGGAAAAAGTCCTGAGCTCTGCCGTCGCGCTCTGCGACCGGCATCCCTAACACGACTTGGCTGACTTTTCCGATCTCCGGAAGATGCGCTGCCCTATGCCGTGGTCCGTTTTCACGCCGGGATTCGCGACGAGGCGGAATCAAAGCTGAATTCCTCCCTCCGCTTGATGTCGATCCCCGAGAGTCCTCCAGCGAGATTTGTGCGAATTCTTTGCTCAGAAAGCAGACTCCGGCCGGCAAGGAGACCCGATGTCAGCGAGTAAATTATCAGGTCTCTTTCCGGCCGAAGCGCCATTTCTCAGGGAAACAGCTCCCTGTCGCGGCACCGGCAAGCTCTGACTTTTGCTGTAGCATCTCTCCAAAGTGAAAGGCTATTCAGGCGAGATCCGGAGCTCGCTGTCTTATCTACTCTGAGAAGATCCAGGCATCCGGGCAAGCCAGCATTTCACTCAGGGCCCAACCTCTATCCAATTTTCGGTTGTAGCCCCCTCCTGAGTTGCTCCAGGGGCTCACAGATATGGCGGAAGAAGAACCTCCGACAGACGTTTTCCGTCTTCTCCCAGCAGAGAATACAAGGTACGGTATTCGAGAATTCGAGGCGAAGCGTTACGGTATTGATCGATCAATTAGATGGGCGGTCTAGCCGATTGTGACAGAAGCCGAGGATCGTTCCCCGCCTCGAATTCTCTCCTCTCTCTAGTCGTCGCCCTCGCTTGCGTCTGCGTCGGTGAGGGCCATTGTCACAGCCGTTTTTTTTGGCAAAAAGCCTCATAAGAAGTGACTTTCCGATTCGATCGCTGGTTGAGCCCCAAAACTGAGTGCTCGAACACAAGCGTTTCGTCCAAAAGGAAATCAATGCCCCAGCTATTGGAAGAGATTGATCATCGCAGCCTTGGGCTGCTGCCGCAAACCTTCGGCCGCCGGGTACTCCTGACAGGAAGGCGAACCTTCGTTCGAGATGCATCTTTCGGTTGAAAAAATCAACTTCCGTCGTCGCGAACTCATAGTTCCATAGGATGAAGATATCCGATTTTTCAGACTCGGCCATTTCATAACGATATTCATCCCACAGGAAACGCTGGTCGCAGGTTATGTACATGTACTACCTGCTCGGACACCGTCTCATGGAGCTCCCAATCGACGTTGCCCGCAAAGCTGTTATGGCGGAGAACACCTACATTCTCGCCCTGGACGGAGATATAAACTTCAGACCTCACGCTGTTCAACTTCTCGTCGATCTTATGAAGAAGAATCGAGGCTTAGGGGCTGCTTGCGGTCGGATCCATCCCGTCGGAGCCGGTTCGTATGCAAAGCTCAACGTAGAATATTCGAAAGCGATTCCCATCCCTTCCCGCCCTCGCCCCTTAATTCGATTAAGTCCCAGAGATGTGTTCAGTTGGCTAGACTGGGAATACGCTAATTCATTAGTTTGAAACCAAAGCTCTCATCCATTTACTCTCGCTGAAGTCGCTGGATGGATCCTCGAATTCAAATAATGTTCTTCTGCAA